AACAACACAGCTAGAAGCCAAACAGCCTCGCTGCACATAAAATACTCAATCAAGCACAGCGATTCGTCTGTCAGATGTTCATCCAGCGCACTGAAGTGAAGATCTGATGCGAGGCTGGAGCTGAGAAAGAAACACTGAATTACTTCACTTTATAGTCATCAGATATGACTGTAAAAGCTCCCATGTGGATATAAAACCTGCAGAAATATCAGGAGGTCATGGAAACACCAATCAGAGCCCCCCATAAATGTCAGCATGCGCGACACGTCACCCCATCGGCACGAGCCAATTAGAGAACAGAACAAGGTTACAGAGGGAGCACTTGATTTGAATCAGTCCATGTGTTTAAGGTATTTTGTGAATGGCTGTAGGAAGTAGAGCTCAGCCGTTTTACCAAACTACCTCTCTCTCTTTTTTTCCCTTATCAAACCTCCACAGGAGCCAATCAGAAACCTGAGCTTCCCCAGTAAATGTAACGGCGCCGGGACAACAGCTGGTCCCTGGAAGTGCAGGACGACGATTCCAGCAGAGTGAGTCCAGGGTTTTATGACTAAATGGTGACTGTCTGATTTTTTGCTGTCACTCTCTCTTTAAAAATAAAGTTTTATATGTCATGAAACAGAAAATCAGCGAGAGAAGTAACATGTCCCACTTTCATGTTCAGCTGCGTTTCTGTTACAGATGTTTGCAAAACTTTGTAGATATGTCGCTAACATAAAAAAAAAAAATCCAATTGCTTTCATTAAGGGGGCGGTATTACCAGTTTTCCAGCCTCATAGTGCCATTTTATAGCAACTAAGCAACAATTAAGCAACTAAGTTACTTTCAGTTATCATAAAAATGCTACATATATGTCAAATATGACTTAAAAGAAAGTTGACTTTGTAATTTAATGACATGAAATTCGACCTCTGTCTCTTTCAGAAACTCCTGCTCTTTCAGGACGTCATCACCCCCTGAGGAGGAGCTTCGTCCTCGAAGGTGGCGCTAGGTCCACCCTGGCGTTTTGCACAGCTAAATGGTTGCCATGGAGATTAAAGGATTCCTCAAACGTGAATGAAAGAATCAAAGCAACACGCCAGGTGTGTTTTAGACGAGGGAATAACATTATAACACGATGTAAAGCTCAAAAAGGTTAATTTTACACAACACTTCCTCTTGTTTTATTCATTTCTTGCGCTGTAATGTTACTTTGTGGTTTTTATCTCTGTATTAATGTGCTTTAAAATCAAGCTGCTGAAGGGACTACAAATGGAAATATCCCACCTGGCTACAAGTTCATGTATTTACTTGTAAATGTTTATTAATACATAACGTCCCATTTAAAAAACAAAAAACCTTGAAGATAGTTTGAGATAAAGACATGATGGAGGAAAACTCTGTAGAAGCTGCATAACACTTGAGGTTTTCTCAATCCTGCAGAAAACCAGAGCTACAGTGGAACAGCTTACAGCAAAGCATATTCATGTTAGAATGGCCCAGTCAAAGTTCAGACCAGCAATTTATTTATTAACCTTCAGAAATCTACAATGGTAAACACATAGAGCTGTAACTGCATCTAAAGATGATCCTGCTGAGCATTAACTCAAGAACGCTCCACATAAATAGAAAAAAAGCCACTTTTTGTAAGAGTTGTAGAAATAAAAAAACACTTCTCAATTATGCACTACTCTGTGTTGGTGAATCACAATAATTCACAATAAAACTCCCTGATGTTGTTGGTGAGAAAGCGTTAAAAGGCTAAAAATGTGTGTGATTGCCTTTGCGAGGCACTGCAGCTGCGCTTTATTATGAAGCTCTTCTCACAATTTACACCCTGCTCTTGCCTTTCCGAACGGCCTCTCTGACACGGCGACGAGGAACAGGAAGACTTACAGTACTTCAGATGTGCGTCTTATCCGCAGAGCTCTGGGCTGTTTGGCTTGGCTCTACGGTATGGGAGCTGTTCCTGGTATTAGAGGATGTTCCTCAGGTGGAAGTTTTGAAAACTAGCCTGGGGCTTAAGGGGCCAAAGCCCTTCCAGAGCCAGATCTGCAACAGATATTTACGGAGGCCCGTTTGAAGGTGGCTGGGAGGGGAGTCGGCCGTATATAGATGGAGCAAGAGCAAGTGAGAAATGAAACACATTGTGATGCTTTCGGTGAGAGTCCCTGGCTGTCAGTCAGAGGGGAGGCAACGGGGTTCCTCAGATCTGGCAAAAAGGGGGCAGAGGGAGTGTAATCCATCGAGACGTGGGTCTGCTGCGCTAACAAGGCGCATGCATGTGAAGGTGGAAGAGTGCAGGTGGCCGGCTGGGTGTGTTGACAGCTACAAGTGGCAAGACGGTGGCAGTTCCAGCTGATCTGAGGGGATGATACATCGATCTAAACGGGCGCAGTTTGATCTGGCAGCAATCTCTAGGCTCAGGCGGCGAAATCCAGAGGTTTCCATCAAAGACGAGTAGGGCTGCAACTAACGATTATTTTAGTAATTAATTATCTTACAGATTTTTCCAGTGATTTGCCAATTAATCTAACAATTAATCGATCATTTACAAAATCTGCACATTATGCAGATTTTTTTTAAAACCTCTTCAATGTTTATTTCAGACAATATTAGAAATACATTAAAAGATGCAAATAAACAAAAAATTATTCCCTTTTTAACTAAGTAAACATTTTGTTTCCTAAAATCCAACAACATAGCATAGCCCTTGGTTTATGCTTGCTCATATGAAGCAAAGGATGAATCTCCAGCTAAAATACTTCATATTTCTCACATCGTCATGTGAAAAGTTCAGCCCTTTCTGCCTGACTTAGCGTCAAACAGCGTAGGTCTGAGTGAGCTTCATTATGATGGTCATGTTTTATATTAACCAGTTTAAAAGGTGCTTAACCCTCCCTCGGTCTTAAGAGACACCAGGGTCTATTCGAGTTTACCCTGTGCGCATTCCAACAGGGTCAGACCGATGCCGCGTGCGCTTTCTTTGTCGTTTTGACTGGACAGTCACCCCGCCGTTGTCCGACCGTGACATTTGCCGGCCTCCTCTTTGGCGTCACGCTAAGACTACAGGAGGGTTAATTGTTTTTTTATTTATTTTTTTTAAACAGATTTTGCACTGGGTGAAGCTAGAATTGCTACCTGAGTTCTGTGTACGACATATTTATAGACAAAGGGTTTTTTTCTCCATCTTGAATGCAAAATGTTTGTATTTTTTGGCCAGTTTTGGCCCAAGTACTGCTATGAATGTGTTTTTCTTTCCATAATCTGTGTTTTTTTGGAGTCTATATCCTCCAGTTAATGATTAATCCATCACTACATTAGCTGACAAGAACTTCAATAATCGATTAATCGGGATTATTTGTTTCAGTCCCAGAAAACAGGCCAAGAAGCAAATTTGAAAAACGTTGGTGAGTATAGATTTCGACGTAGATGAGCTGAAGTGGAACTCATCTCTTTGTTTCAGCAGAAGAGAGACGCAGAAACACGTTGTGTAAAGGAAAGTTCAGAAATTCCTGCTGCCAAAGCACGTCTGGTGCAAACAGAAAATGAAGCGCTGGGCCCTGCAGCTCACCTGGTTGATGTGTTTCAGTTTATCAATGATCTGGCTGATGACCGGCTCCGGCTGCTTGTTGCTCTTAGACTCCGAAGCGGGATGAAGCCGTTTCTGGCTGGGCCCGGCAAACCTGAAAAAAAAAAAAAAAAACAAGAAAAAACAATAAGTGTTGCTGAATCTTTCCTTTTCTCTGTAATCTGTGCTTGCAAAAACCACAGTGAGCGCCGCCACGTCTCCCCAAGTACGGTGTTTATCACCATCTAGTGTCGGGAAAAATTGATGACAGGTCTGAGACGTTTCCTTCTAGAAACACGAAAAGTCAATTTGTAACTGAGCTCTGACTGAACGGAGAGCTGAGCCCTGAGTGGAAGAAACATTTCTAAAGTTAGAAACAGTGTTTTCCAGGATTTAATGTCTTAAAATAGATTTTGTGGTAGATAACAAAAAAAAAACAACAAAAAAAAAAACAATGGAATCCAAATGGGATTTTCTGGACAAGGTTGAACATAAATCTGCACCAGCCTCCGCGTGTAATGGGTCTTAAGCTTCTAATAAGTGGATTTACACACGCAGTTTATGCACATATTTTGTCGAGATGAGGCAAGCAAAAAAAAAAAAAAAAAAAAAAAAACCTCACACGGTTTTAGTCATTATGCAAAGTTGAGTTGGAGATTAATTTTGTGCATATTAACTTTCCACTTAGCGTTGCTTTAATCATCCGTGTCGATGCAACGACTTCAGGAGAGATGTGTTTCTGTGCTGCTGCTGCAGCTTGGAGGGTGAATTTAGATGCAAGCAGCCAACAGGCGAGTGCTTACAAGCCTCCATGTGTACCTTAGGAAGCGCTGCTCTGTTGACTCGTGTGTGTGTGTGTGCATGTTATCAAGAGGAGGAGGAGCTGCTGTGTCTAAAAGGTGTGTCCTCTCCCCCCAGACTTTCATGCTGAGACTTTCCTGCACATGTTTACAGAGTTCATTCGCCGCCACGATTAACCCGTTCCCAGCTCTCAGATTAGCTACTGTTTCCAGGTACGACCAGATCTGATGTTGTGACAATGTGTCAAAAAGCGACGCAGCGGACTGAGGAGTGCAAAGTGGTGTCATCCCCGAGGATTCGCTGTAAACAGGATTGTGGGGGGAAACGTAAAAGTCACGACTGTTTTGGGAAAACAATAAAGCATCACTGAAAGTGAAAAGTATAACAGCAGAGCAAAAAATTAAATGTTAAAAATATTGGAAAAAGTCACAAATTTTAAGAAAACACCTAAATGGGTATTGCTGTGTTTCCATTAAAAACTCAACGCTTTGTAAGCGTTTAATCATTCTCTTCGTAACAAACGTATTTTAATGAATTGAAGAGAATTTTAGTTAAATAAACAGCAGCTCAATTCTCATGAATAATCTAACTTAAGTGTGCATCATTGTTTTGAACGTCTCATTCGTGTTTATTGTGGTTCTGACTTTGATGAAATATGACAGATTATGTCATCTGATCAAACTAATACACCGCTGAGCAACTTGAGTCCAGTAACATCTGCTTTCCATAAAATGTATTAATTTGGGGAATTATGCTAAATTGTAGGTTGTTAAAGATATTATTCCATTGCGCCTGGTATAAAACGTCTTATGGCAAACTGCTTCATGAGTTGGATATGAAACAAACAAACCTGCAAAAATATATAATGGCAAAAAAGTCCTGTCGTTAAAGCATAGCAAAAAGGAGAAATTTTAAGAAATTTAAAATGGGACAAAAACAAATGCTGCAGAGAAACATGCATAAAACAAAAAGAGGCAATAAAAAGTGGAAAGTTTCTAAAGAAACATCAGTAAAACAAACAATATGCAGCATTGGAAACAAAAACTACTCAATATGTTTGACAACAAAATTAAAACGTCACAATTTTGGGGGGAAAACCATAGCACAAGAAATAAAATATCTCTGAAAACAAAATTGTAAACCAAAACAACAAAAAAAAGTAATCTGATTTTGCTATTTCAAAAAAACACAAAGGCTTCACAAAAACAGATGGACATTTATTGTGTCATTTATTATCATGAAAAATTTCTTATCATGATAAAAATATTGATTTATCGTGATGTCAATAATTCCAATTTATGTTTAAAACCCAGAAAGCTGGCTGTATTGTTGTGATTACTATCACTATTTTCTCCACTGTTTGTTCCAGGTGAGCATCATTAAATATTAATACGTTCAAACACGTGAACAAATGCAGCTACTGTCTGAATTTCAGTGATAAAAGTCACGTGTTCATGTAGTTGGTGTCTTGTAAAAGCGTAGTTCAGCTGGGAATGATTCTGTGTTGGTGCCTTGCAGACACAGCGACACATTTACCTAGAGAGACAAAACAAGCATGAAACAGGTTTTTTTTTATCGTCATTTTTATCACAATAGTACCAGGAAATATTGTGATAAGTTTACTTAATACTTTAAGTAGTGCTTTAGTTTGTGTTCATCTCGTTCACATTTTATTACTTTACATTTATCTTCTGTAAAAACCATAGTGTGTTAAATTAATACCAGGGAAGATATGTTTTTCCAGCATTAATACAGAGAGTGGAGCTAAGGTTGCATATTTTAGTCAGCATTGAGCTTTTTAAATCGGGATTACTCCATAGATTTGGAAACAAATGACATTTGAGGTGATGCAAGGCAAGACGTTTAATTATTTTTCTTTCTTTTTTTTTTTGCAGATTACGTTGTTTTTGTGATCAAACTTAAACTGAAACACGTATGTGGTTGTTTGCAACCTAAACCCAGATCCGGTTGGAGATGAAGTATTATCCTCTGCAGTAAATGATTGAAACATGAAGGTCTAACTCAAATCTGGACTTTTTTTTTTCTTCAAAAAAAAAAAAAAACACTCAGAAAGCCTCAAAGATCCTTGAGATAAAAATATACGAAGGCGTGTGTGTGTGTGTGTGTGTGTGTGTGTGTGTGTGTGTGTGTGTGTGTGAGGTCATCCTCTAGTTTCATCTCTGTGACACTGACCTGACTGCTCGCCCGCTCTCTCTCACACGCACGCACACACCTCTCTCCTAACGTCTGCGCTCATCACTCTTTCCCTCTATACGCAAAGTCAGACTTTTCATTAAACTTGAATTACGTTCCCTCAGTTATTTATTCTCCTTATTAGCCATGATCTCATCCCCTCTCAGCTCCTAATTATCACATTAATAATGGAAAGATGTGTGATCAATTAGTCAGAGAGGAGAAAGAGAAAATATGGGTCGAGGAGGGAGAGGATCCGGGGGGAGGGAGATGGAGTGAGAAGGGGAGCAGAGGCAGGTTAGTGTTTCATGTGATAAATGCCACTCAGATAATTTTACCACGGGATCATTTAACACGCATCGCCGCGTTTCCCCCTTTTTTCTCTCTCCGTTTGTTATCCAGTCTCTGTGTTGCCGCCTGCCGAGCTGATCAGATGGGTAAACTCCTGCGATAAGCTAATCTAATCACACCCCAATTACCGCACTATTAGGCCCAGTCTGACGGAGACCAGCACCTCCCACACTGGCACAAACAGACGAGGAGGAAATGGGAGTCCAGGTAATGGAGTGTGGAGTCTGACACGTTCATATCACCTGATGGATCACGGCTCCACCCGGTCCCAATACGGGCAGGCAGGCGCGCAGGTCACAGTGCGCTAACGCTGCGGCTGCTACTGCCAATGAAAGAGGAAACCAGTTTTATCTGGAAGGGTCGGTAATTGAAACTCAACAGCAGCTTTATTAGTTTTCTGGTTGTTATAAAAGAGCTAATGTGGTCAGCACCAGTTCAGCGGTGACCTCACGCAGAACAGGTTTTGATTATGCGAGTGTGTAGGAGTGTTTCATTGCAAGTAATCAGAGCTCAGCTTTCATGGTCGCATATGCAGGCTCACACTGCAACTGTGAGGAAAACGCGTTATAGAAAATATGTTCAACACTCTACCTTAGCCTTTTCATGTTTTATTCATCGCTACATTTCTGAAAGCGATGGTTGTCGACTCCCTTAATTTGGCTTTGCATGAAGGTTTAACAAACATGTTTAGGAATTTTATGACTTTTCAAAGAGCACTATGAATGAAACGTAACAACTATATCACGAAATGCACAAGAGCAACAGCCATAACTGCTTTTTTTTGCCCTTATTTAAATTTATTTATTCACAGAATGAACTTTAGCATTCAACCAACTGGTGTTAAAGTTGCACTTAAACCGTGACAGTCGCAAAAAAGATAGCTAGCTAGCTTTTCTCCTCCCTCTGTTTTTACTGCATGAACCAGAACCAATGGTTGCTGCTAATATACCCGTCAGTTAATTATTTTATTTAAAATGGGACAATGTACAACATTAAACCACATGAGGAGAAATGTACTACACCAGGTTATGGCTACAAAGGCTAATTTCCTCCTGTAGTGCCCAGGTGGAAATTAGCTAGCAAGCCTAACCCCATCTAGCTAGCTAGGGTATTTTAGCACATGGTTAGCTTCAACCTAGTCATAGTAGCAGATCTGATAAATAACTTATTTTAAATGTTTAGTGATAAAAAATATAGACTTACAAGTCTTTCAACAAAAAAAAAAAAAAACAAGCATGGAAAAGGAAGAATCCAATGCTGATGTCAGGAGCTTAAGTACTGAGGCAGGGTCACTAGGTGATATAAGAGGCAGAAACACTAATCAGTGGTGGTACAGCTGTGATAGCAAAGAGACAGGAAATAATCTAAGAAATTTAAATTAAAGAAAAAGAGCAAAAAGGTATACCAAGAAACTAAATATAAAATGAAATAATACGGCAACATCTTAGAAACAATATTAAACACAGAGAAATTAACTGAATATGGCAAGACCTGTAGAACATAATTAACCCAAACAAGACGATCAAACACAAACAATAACCAAAACCCAAAGAATGTGAAATTAGTACCATAGTAGATGGAGGCAAGCATAAAAACCACCAATAAGTGGATGAGGGCAACATGAACTGAGATATTTAACACTGGTTATTACAGATTCCTAAAAACAAGGTTTGTGTATTCCTTCCCTGTCCTCTGGACACGTAACAAATGGCTTGTCTGTATTTTATTTTTACAATTTAGCTGAAATTAGAAAAAGGAAATGTAACAGAAAGTTTTGCTGTACTAAAATATCAATAATTAAGAGCTCAATGTTGGTTTATTTTTTAAGTTTAAACATCTGATTTTTTTTTATTTTTTTTCAATTAACGTTATGACTCCATATTTTAGCTCCATACTGGAGCTCTTATCACCCCTTGTGATTTTCCGGCATCATTAGATCCAAAGCAGGGATGGAAGCCGGATTCTGCATCACATCTCTCTCATGCCTATCAGCAAGGCGCTCTTTGATGTGGAGCAAAGTGTTGCTCCTCTGATCTCGGTTCCAGGTGGGGTGGTAAACACACACCTGATTTAAAAAGAAAGAAAAAAAGCGCCTCATTTAGCTCCAAACGCAGCTCTTACAGCATGTCGGAGGCGTTCGGCAGTCGACCTCTCCGGAGCTCACCCCTTCCCCTCCTCCCCGCTTCGTCTAAATTTAACAATGTGAGACAATACGGCCGGTCCGGGTTTCTGGAGAAGGTCCTGAGAGGGAGGGGATAATGAACGACGATCCGGAATAGATTGAAAACGAATCCCGGCTATATTTGCAGACGGAATGCCCTCGCAGGTGACACGGGAGAATTGCTTGCTGCAGGACATTGTAATCTCTCCATCATTTTGTCTCCTTTCCTGCCACCCTGCTATCACGCCATTTGGTCCAGCTTGTAATCATCCCCTCGGGACAGCTTCGCCCTCCTCTCGCCAAAAACTGATGTCTCCTTCACAGGCTGATGCCAGCTTTATGGAAAGATAAAAGAAGTTTGAGCAAAGATCGGAATTTAATCTCTGGAAAGCGAGAGAAAAAATATTAACCCGCAGGGGTCTCCTATCTCAAATTTGTTAAGAGTCGTAATTAACAAAACAACTGAGGAAGAAACAGATGTGTGTATCTGCCCAGGCAAAAAGCATGCAATGTGGAACTGGTTTTTTTTTTTCCATATCTGTTAATATGGAAACATATTGACAGATATTGTGACAGCGTAATCTAAGACCGATAATCTGTGTAAAAATCAAGCTCGTCTGCCTTTTCCCAGTGCTACTACAGAAATAGCTCAGTTAGAAACAACCAATCAGAGTCAAGAGGAGGGTCTTAGCGCTGTCAATCAAGCTTCTGTAAGCATGGCTCACAACCTTCCCCTATGCTGTCTGCTGTCTTCTGCTGTCTTACAGACAGTAGAACCTGTTACTAATGCTAAGGCTAGTTAGCATCGTGGTGGATAAACAGTTTTCCTGTTTTGTTCGGAAGCTGTGCATTTTTTAAGGTCATTATAGTAGCTCAGGGAGGATGTGGAGGTCTAGATTTTTTCTGTCACAGATTATCTGTCTCGTACCATACCGTCACAACATGGTGACAGTTTTAATATGTAAAAAACTGATTTAAAAAAAAAAAAGAATACATAAAAGTAACATTCTGCAGATTTAATGGGGAAAAGTGTGCAACTGGAGCCACACAACAGGGAGCGAGTGAAAAAGCGCTCAAAGCAATCACGGTTCTGCAGGGTGCAGGAGATGTGCTGGAGGCGCGAGGTAGAACAACGGAAACAGCAGTTAACGGCGCGAGGAGAAGGGGACAGCACGCCTGACATTTATAACATCCCATAGAGCCAAAGTCAAGATTTACACTCACACTCAGTGGGAGGAGAAGGAGAGGGGAGGAGGAAGCCCTTCAGCTTGGGGAAAACTTACCCTTCAAGTCACCTACGCGCTCCGAGACGTGAAATCAACCCGCCAGATCGAGGATCTGCTCGTGAGCCGATACGCTTTAAAAGCACCGGGCGCCGTGGATTTTCCAGCAGATGCGCTCGGAAATAAATGCCATTATTAATCCATACCTGTCTGTCATCTCCTGCCCATTCCAGCAGAGGGAGTTGTTTGCTGCGGTAGGCTCCCGACTGCACAGCGCCTCCCCGAGGCCGCTGTAGAAGGAGCTGAAGCTTTTCAGGTTGGTGATGAACTCCCTGAGGTGAAACGGAGAGAGACAAAGAATAAAACTGTCACAGAGGAAGAGATAAAGAGAGAGAATTCAGCTTAATAAGACTGAGAGCAAGTTGATTAGATCCACCCCGACGCCCCCATGAGACACAGAGATTAAAAGGGGCCAGAATAGGCGGTTGTCTCTGCTCCTTAATTGACATTAATCTGACCATTTGGAGACTGAAGCCTGCAGTCCTGCTGGGCAATTACGGCGCTCAGCTGGGGTCTCGAGTGGAGAGAGAAAGAGTGTTACAAGGAACCTGGTGAGACTGTGAGGAGCCTTTAAGTCTCCTCACTATGGAAGCTCTGTGCATTTTACATTAGAGATCAAAAACCAGCAGGGGATCACTGAGAATTTAAAC